TCCCGACAGCCAACTCGTATCCAGCCATCGTAGCGGACATGCTGAGTGGAGCGATTGCTTGCATCGGATTCACTTGGATAGCGAGTCCGGCCTGCACGGAGCTGGAGGTGGTTATGCTCGACTGGCTGGGCAAGATGCTGGATCTGCCAGCTGAATTTTTGGCCTGCTCCGGAGGAAAAGGTGGCGGCGTGATTCAGGGAACAGCCAGCGAGTCGACTCTGGTAGCTTTGCTGGGCGCCAAGGCCAAGAAGATACAGCAGGTTAAGAAGGAACATCCGGAGTGGGATGAGCACACAATCATTGGCAAGCTGGTGGGCTATTCCTCGGCCCAGGCTCATTCCTCTGTGGAGCGAGCTGGTCTCCTGGGCGGCGTCAAGTTGCGTTCGGTTCCGGCTGATGAGCATAATCGTCTGCGTGGCGATGCCTTGGAGCAGGCAATCAAAGAGGATTTGGCTGCTGGCCTAATACCCTTCTACGCTGTTGTTACCTTGGGCACGACTAACTCGTGTGCCTTTGATCGACTGGATGAGTGCGGTGCTGTGGCCAACAAGTACAACGTGTGGGTTCATGTGGATGCGGCCTATGCTGGCTCAGCATTCATCTGCCCCGAGTACCGTCACCACATGAAGGGCATCGAGACGGCTGACTCGTTCAACTTCAATCCACACAAATGGATGCTGGTCAACTTCGACTGCTCGGCCATGTGGCTGAAGGACCCCAGCTGGGTAGTAAACGCTTTCAATGTTGATCCCCTGTACCTAAAGCACGACATGCAGGGCTCTGCACCTGACTATCGCCACTGGCAAATCCCATTGGGCCGCCGTTTCCGCGCCCTCAAGCTCTGGTTCGTGCTGCGTCTGTACGGTGTCGAGAATCTGCAGGCACATATCAGACGCCACTGCGGCTTTGCCAAGCAGTTTGGCGATCTCTGCCAGCAGGACAAGCGCTTCGAACTGGCTGCTGAAGTGAGCATGGGTTTGGTTTGCTTCCGGCTGAAGGGCAGCAACGAGCGCAATGAAGCGCTGCTCAAGCGGATCAATGGACGTGGCAACATTCACATGGTGCCCGCTAAAATACGCGATGTTTACTTCTTACGCATGGCCGTCTGCTCGCGTTTCACACGATCCGAGGACATGGAGTACTCCTGGAAGGAAGTCAGCGCTGCAGCCGATGACCTGGAACAGTCTGAGGCAGCTGAAAAGCAGTAAAAAGGCAGCTACGGCTTCAACTATATATAAATTGACATGTTTAGGGAATTTAATCATGGCTCATATATAATATATTTAAATGCTTGAAATTTCTACATACATACATACATATAAGCAAAATATTGTTGAGTATTAGTGTATCATCAAATATCATTGTTATCGTTGTTGTTCTTTAAACTCTACTCGTATTTAATAAATGTGCTTAATTAATCATTATTATATAACTAACACAATGGATCATTCATTTATTTTGAGCGCAAAGCAATTAGCCTGTTTTAATTGAGTCTCGATCTCTAAGGCTATGTAATTTGCTTTCACATCGTCTTTTCATGTCATTTCAATAATATTAATTTCTACAAAGATATCTCCCTAGATGGATGTTTAGACTGCCAACCAACTTACCAAGTTATATTACAGAACAATTCCTGAGTAAGCTAAATTGAAAATCATGTACCAAACACAAACAACATTATCGCAGAATGTTTTTAAAATTTTTTTAGTCATTTCTCATTTCAATCTGTTTGCAAATTTCTAAATTATGCACGTTAGCTTTGTTTAAATATCTACAAAAAAAAAGTTTATTATTACAGCTGAATGCACTAGACAGTTAAATTCAATTTAAAAAAAAGACACAAATACTTAAACTATATATTTCAATATATAAATAGTTAGCATTATACAACTTTAACAAAATAAAATATAGCTTGTATATTTTAAATAAAATATATGTCTTAAAAAAAATAATACTAATATCGGATTATATTTTAATCGATAGTAAATAGCCGATAGCTGACCTAACAAAACGATAGGATAACCAACCAAAAAAAATATCGTGTTTTAATACTGAAACTTTGCGACCTTTTTGTAGTCATGGCGCGAGCTATCGGCAATTCAAATACTTACATATAAATATGGTAATTTAAATTGTACGCATACGCAGAGGAACGCTGTTTTATATAATACATGCAGTACATTCGTCATTCGGATTTGAGATGGACGGAATCGAACCGATCATTCAAGCGACTGCTCTCATAGTTCACATACACTCCATGGGTTCCAGCAAGAGCAGGTGCTGCTTAGTTGAGATGAGCAAGTAACAGAGAAGATAGAGAACTGACAGGATAAAATATATTGAGGGTGCCATCATAGCTACGTCAGCTCCAATTCCATTTAAAGTGAGATATTTAAAGAAAAAAAGCTGCTTTGAATTTGCTAAATAGATTACTCTATAATCAAAATGTTGTGGATTATTACTGAATGATTTTCATAAAATAAAATTCTTGCCTTTTCTTACGCTATTCGTTTTTAATAAATGTACTTAATTAATTATATTTTCATAACTAATGTATAGAATTAACCGTTAATTTTGACTAGGGCTCTGAAACGAGTTTTTTTTTTTTTTTTTTTTTTTTTTTTTTTTAGACACTGTGCTTCATGTTGTAAAAGTCGATAATACGTTGCGCCTCACGTATGCCACTGGAACGTGCTCCGTCAATGGTTCCAAATCCGTGCATTGCGGTGGCGTCGCCTGCAAAGAGAAGTGTTGGTGCTGCATCGCCAAGAGGAGCCGCCAAGGACTGGACATCGCGAGCGCTGCTGTCGACGGAGAAATAAGGTCGGCCGCCTAGAAAACACGCGGAGCTATTCCAGTTGGAGCGCAGCATGGCCTGCGGATAGGGCACGTTCTGGTTGCACAGGCACTTTCGTAATAGCATTGTAAACTGCTCCAACAGCATCGCATCGGGCAGCTTCTCAATCTCATCGTAATATCCGCCACCGACGCGGACTTCGAGGACATGTTGGCTGCTGGGCAGCTGAGATATTTCTACAATCTGTCGAGTCCAGCTTCGCTTTAGATTTGCATCTGTTCCTTCAATGGCCGGGCTTGGACTTGCTTGCTGTAATGGACACAACGGACGTAGATTCGACTTGAGCCACCGACTAATGGGCCGTTTGTAGGAAAGATAGATTTTGACTGGATTACCAAAACCTAGATTCTTTATGGCTTGTAGCTTCTCCAGCGGCAGCATGGGCTTGAACAGGATACCAGAAAAGTTCTTTAGCACGCCCAAAGGCAGCGTACAGATTATATGATCGGCACTATACAGACTGCCGTCGAGACAACCCACAAATTGCGTATCTGAAGGCGTCTTCCACTGTATTTGGCCGACGGGTTTGCCTGTCTGCAGCTGCTGTTTGTTCAAGTCGTGGGTTAGCGCATTGACGGCGTTGTCCAGGCCAGTGGGCACGTAAATCGGATGCGCTTCCTGCTCCAACGGACATGAGGTAACATGCTGGATATTCACATACTCAAGACAGCAGCCCAATATGCTGCTGAAGTCCTTGAACAGCGACTGAAAAATCTCGCGTGCTATTGCCTGTTCGCCGGGCTGCTTAAAGGATGAAGCTATCAACTTGTCGCTCTCCGACTGAAAATATGCCATGACATTGTCCAACGAGTGCAAATCGCCGCCACTCTTCACTTTATCGCGCACCTTGAATCCGCGGCACAAGTCTCGGAACAACGTATCTATCTGTTCAACCATGCCAGTTGGCACCTTGCTCTGTTGATCTTGCTTACCATCACCCACTGTGTGCACATAAATGACGGGCGACGGCTGCTTCAGCTGTTTTGTCAGGCCTTCGGCATTACGCAATAGCTCGTACATGGAATCATGGGAGCCATTAATGTTAACCCACTTAGCGCCCAGCTCACAAAATGTGTCGCCAAAGCGCTTGGAGTTAATACGACCACCATAGCGTTCCGTTGCCTCCAGGACGAGCGTACTATGAAAACCATTCAACAGTAGATGCTTGGCCGCTGACAAGCCTGCCAGACCACCGCCAACTATCACAATCTGGGCATTCCGTTTGGCAGACTCCAGATTATGGTTGAAGTCGTGGTGGCTGCTTCCATGCTGTTGCAGCCCGGTGAGCTCAGCTTGGAGTGCTGCTGCATTGTATAAACTGCGCCTATTGGCTAGTTTATACATAACTGTGCACAAACGGAAAGCATTTCCTATTATTTATTATGTTCAACTGCAGCAAATAGTCTGCACTCACCATTTCAGATCAACGTGTCAACAGGCCTGATCAGTTTCTGGGTGTTTTGCGAAAACAGTGAAATTTTGTTATGAATGCGAGTGCTCTATGATTTGGGTTTACAACAAAACTATCGGATTGACACATTTCACAAATACACTTTTCTATGCCAGAACAGTGAATAATATATGATAAGGTGCAATGCTACGTTTGCTTACAAATTATATGTACAAAATTTTAATTTAATTAGGAACTGTCAAATACAAATCATAAAACCAATTTTACACAAAATTATAAAAAGTATATTTGCGATTTCATATTCTGTTTTCACTCCCTGCAATAAACAGCTGCATACATTTTTTTAAGACTGGCAATGCTGCTCAATAATTTTTGTTCAAATGCCAAACCAAAGGCTATCGAATAAGTATATCGATTTTAGATACGAAAGTGGCGGTAAATTGAAAAATATTGGTTTGAAAAAAGATAAATAAAATAAATAAATAAAAAATACGTTTTAAAATGAAAAATAAACTACTTTGATAAATATATTGTATAAAGCACAATTTTGAGTTGTTGTACTAATTGGCAATTCTGGTAGCACTGCGAACTTTTACTTACCAATATCGTAAATGCATATCGAGTATATTAATTGAAGACTATTCAGTTGCGCACAAATTGAAATGACTGCAACTTGTATAAAGAAAATCATTGGGTTTAAGTGTTTTTCCATTTATTAAATCTAATATTTTTATTACTTTGCCAACGCTTGGACCAGGTTAATTAATTTAAATATTGTCTGCATGTATATGTATGTGAAGTATCTTTTGTTCTTATTTAAAACTAACGCTGTTGCGTTTCATTTGTCACATGTAATCCACTTAAATGGGTTGTAAGCTCGGATAGTTCGCCAGCCTTGCGGGTATTCACCTGTTGCTCTGCGCACACCGATGTGAGCTGTGTTTGGATTTCCGTCCAGGCAAATTCAATGTCCGAAGGTTTTGGATCCATGCCGCATACGGCAAATCTCAGGAAAAGCCGCCCACAATGTTCCGCCTTCACCATGTAAATCTTCTTGCGCTCCATTAGGCGCTGCAGCAGCTGTGATGTGATTTCATTGTCACCCTTCGCCCGGAAGCAAACCAGTCCCAGAGCACGCGGAGCAATCAACTCGAAACGTTCGTCTGCCTTCACCAGATCCTCGAACTGTTTAGCTAATGTGATGTGTTTGCGTATGTGAGCTCGCAGGCCCTCAGCTCCAAGTGTGCGGAACGTGATCCACACTTTCAGAGCGCGAAAGCGACGACCCAACGGAATCTGCCAATGGCGGAAGTCTGGAATCTGCGTCTGACCCTCGTGCTTGTGCTTTAGATAGATGCGATCCACATTGAAGCTGTCAATCACCTTGTTGGCATCGCGCAACCACATGGCGGCGCAATCAAAGTTGACTAGCATAAATTTATGTAGATTAAAGTTAAGCGAGTCCACACGCTCCAAGCCCCGACGCAGCTCCGAGCATTCCTCCAGAGCAAAGGCACCGCCAGCATATGCCGCATCCACATGCAGCCACACCTCATTCTGTTCACAGATGCTGGCCAGAGATTCAATGTCGTCGTAGGCACACGTGCCTGTGGTACCTAGCGAAGCTATGCAGATGACTGGTATGAGACCTGCCGCTACATCTTGCTCAATGGCCTGCTTCAGTGCATCGCCACGCAGCACAAGATCCGCGCCGGCTGGCAGCAGCTTGATGGGCATGGCCGCCAAGACGCCCGCCTTCTCAATGCAGCTGTTGCTCTGATCCGATGAATAGGCAATTAGTTTGCCCCTAATCTCACTCTCGCTCAGCTCTGGCTGGCTGAGTCGCAGACGTCGCACTGCCTGCTCTCTGGCGGCGAGCACAGCCACTAGCACTGCCTCACTGGCAGAGCCTTGAATGACACCGCCACCAGGTCCCTCATTTTCGTGTAGAAAGTGTTTGGGAAGATTCAGAAACTTGGCTAGCCAATCCATAACGACGACTTCCAGCTCCGTGCAAGCCGGACTGCAGATCTGCAAATATGGAAAGGGAAAATATGTTTAGTCATTTGGGTAAATGCAGATAATTTTATAAAGCGTGACCCAGTCCCCCGAGATGAATAAATAAAGTTTGTTTTGTTTGTTTGCTCGCTTGCGACTTTAACAACTCGTTTGTCAAGTTCTTTGGCGCTTTCACTTGTCGCATGCGGACAAAGGGCTTCCATTCAGCTCAATTGAACAAGAGATGAGATTTCACCTGCACGTACCCAACTGAAGCCCATAATGCCGAAACCGCTGGCCAGCATCTCACCCACAATGGAGGGGTAGGATACACTGGTGGGGTAATAGGCATGCATATTAGGTGATTGCCAATGCGTGATGCCCGGCTTGATCACTCGATTGATGTCCTTTAGCACCTCGCTCCAAGTTTCGGGAGTCTCAGGCATTTGCTTGGGCAACAGATTTAGCAAATAGCCCGGCTCCACAGAGGGCAACACATCATGATCTCTGATGTTCTCCAAGTAATCAGCCACAAAGTCAACCGCAGCTTTGCCAAATTCACGAAATTCTTGGGCATCCATTTTGGAGCTACGGTCACGTTTTCGACGTCGAATTTTGTAGTAAGGCCTGGTGCGTTTCTATTTGTACTATTCGCGTATTGTCTGTATGGGTGTTTGCCTTTTTCGTTTGTTGTTTACAAAGCTCTATACACCTTTACACCCAATGACCAACACCAGCACTTTTTGTCGCTCTGTTCGCTACGAGGTTGAGTTTAACTCTGTCAAACCGCGCCTCTAGTGAAATGCCTTTTATACTGCCCGACGAACCGATCGAGCGATCGATTGTCCACAAGTTGACGCCCGAGAATCGCTCATTTAATACTCCACAACCGAGTGGCAGTGGTTCATCTAATTGTCTGCGAAACGAATTCAAATCCAGGTAACACAATTAGAGAATGCCTCTCCCCTTCTAATTATATTGACACCAAGCCATAAAGAATAAATAGTGCCGAGATATACATATATGCTTACTAACACAAATAATCAATAGCATCTCTTTAAAAAAATACGTTGAAAACTTACTTAGCTATGACAACAAAACTAGTCTAAAAACAGATTCAAAATAATTATGTTATTCCATAATGAATTTGCAATTTTTATTCGAGTTTAACGGGCATCATCATCTGTTCTCAATTGGTTTGCCGATTGCTTCCAATTAATTTTAAAACTGTTCCCGATCAATGTATTTTTGACACTCGCTTGCTATATATAGAATCAAATTATAAAGTACGCATTTGCATGCGCTCGGTTGCTACTTGTTGCCAGTTGCACTTTAGTAACAACTCTTCTCAGTTAATTTATCTCGTTTCATAGCAGCCAGTTGCAAACTGTTCCCAACCAATTTTAGCTGCGTTTAGAACCAACAGGTTTTTGTTTGACTGTTCTAACATTTGTATGTAAATAAATTTAAAATTTAACGACATTTTAAACAATAATATCTAATAAACAAATTTTATTACTACTTCATTTAAAATTATAAGACTATCGGACAAATAAAACGTTGATTTTAATTGCTACTCTCAAGCCGAATGCGGTGTTTGGTGTCTGTTCCCAGATACAGTTGGTTTCCCACAGCACCGCATTAGCAGTAGTTGGCTTTCTGTTCTCACTCAGTCGTAGCTGCTCTCAACATGTTTCTCTTGAGCCGACTTTGGGTCAGTGTTTCTCTTAACACTATCTCTTCAAAATAATAGAATGACACCTGATTGACTGCAACATATCAATTCAAAACGTTTCGAATTTGAATATTTAACTTAATGTGAAATATATGTGTATTTCAGTGTAACAAAACAAGTATGAATGAGTCTTCTAGTTGGCCTTCACATATGATTTTGACTGAACTCTGGCTATTGTGCACTTATGCACGTACACAAAATCTGCATTTCCACACTATGAGAAATGATATTTTCCATATTTTTAATTGTTCTTTAATTTGTTGTGTATAATTGAATAGTATTTTCTGTGTATTATTATTTAAAAAATATTGTTTAAATTAAATTTCATTATTTATTAGGATCGTCTAAGGATGAATTTAAAAAATAATAGAATAAACTTTTATTCTATATACTATATTACACTACATACAGCCACGGCCAACTCGGCTGATTTGATATAGAATACATTCATACATTGTCCGATAAAAAGTTGTAGGCTCTGGTTCTACAATAACACAATCACGATTGGGTCTTTGTTAGATCTTCTGATTGACCGAGCGCCTAAGGCGAATCAATATGCATATTTGTGTGCTATTTTTTTAACCGCTTTAAAACTCATTTCTTGTTTGTAGGCTCGATATATAATTTGTATACTTGAGAGGTTTTCATTGCTCAATTAGATTTGAACATTCTTGACTTATTGAAGAAATACAGCTGGTATGTCTTTTCTTTTTTTTTTTAACTTATCGCTCTCTTTTCTGAACATTTACAAACGTATTTGTCCATACAACGCAATCTTTTAGAATTTGAGAATTTTAAATATGCTAAGCAGACGCACTCATATATTTAGCTATCCTGAGATTGAAATGAGAAAACGTGCTTAAATAAGCAGTTCGTTCGAATTTTCGCAAATAAAAAATATATATTTCTGGAGAAAGCTCTAATAAACAAAATGTATGTTAAAAGCAGTTCACTTTTTAACTGAATTTATAATACAAAAAATTAAATAATGAATTAAAGTTTTCTTAAAATTAAGTACCAGCATTTGTATTTCAAAATGGTATATTTTCTAATTTCTTGTGAGGCTTAAATATTTATTGATTTCATATATTTATGACTCACCCAACTAAATCCCAAGACTCCTATGCCCGCTATAAGCAGCTCTCCTATTATAGAGCCAGCGGATGTGGATGACGGAAAAAAGGCATTAAAGTAGGGCGATTGCCAGTGGGTCAATCCGGGCAGGATAATATGTTCCAGATCTTCAAGTATTTGTCGCCAGTGCTCGGGTTGCTCTGGTATTTGCCTAGGCAGCTGATTGATGACATCGTAAGGCAACACGTTGGATAGCACATTTCTGTGAAGGTAACAAATTGCTTGAAAAGGATAACACATACACAGACACACACACACACACACACACACACACACACACCTCTCACGTATGCTGCTCAAGTAGTTGATTATGAACTCAATGGAAGCGTGACCAAATTCGCGAAATTCACCAAAGTCCATTTTAAACAACACTCTATAATAGATAGAGTATGTATGCGTATATATGTATATTTTATGTTTGTATATCCTGTGATCTATTCGTATCCAATATAAGAGTCTCCGTTGATACACTGCGACGTCTGACTTTTGCACTTGTTCACCGTTGACATTCGAATCGAGAAATGAAACTTGCTGCGACATGTCAAAGACTCGATCAAGCTCGCTTCGCAGTCGGTCAAAACTTTCAAACAATACTTTTTGGATGAGCCACTTGCATAGTATGTGTAAAAATGTGCACAGCCAGCAAGTTTTTCGTTATCATTGGCGAGATTTATGTAACTCGTAGCGCTGTAGCGACATAAAGACAAGTTCATAGCCAACACCAACATCATCACACACAACATACAGACGCATGACAACAACCAAGACAATAACAACAAAAATAGCATGAAAATCGTCGATGAAATTTTAATGAAATGCGTTTAATTGTCTAATAAAGCGAGTACACTGCAAGAAATTTCCATACAATTTCTGTCACTGTACCGACTTATATATTATATTAACTTGTAATATTTGTCTGTAAATTGCGCGCAATTTTATGCACTTGAGTAAAATTATATGTAGATACTACAGTACCAGAAACCTGTGATTCTTTAATAATTATTCAATTGAACGTCTACACTGCACAAAATATCTGAGACTTACCGAAATATTACAGAGATCGCATTAAATTCATCTAAGTATATTGTAATAAAAGTTCTTAACTTTTCTTTTTAAGTATTTTTCACTCACCAACTTTTCTCTTAGTGTCTTTAATGGATGATCCATTGTTATTACAATCCGGTTTATAATAATTATTACCTTGTCTTAGCTGTTGTCACTTTGGCAAAAAGTCCCTCCAAATCATTTTCAGATGCATAACATTTCCCACTTCCCCCCTGCCCTTCCCCTCCCCCTACCCAGCTGCATAAACACCTGCTATAATGTTCCGCCCAGTCATTCGAGTATGCTCGAAGTTTTGAAAGTCACAGTCACTGTCAATAGATTTTCGTCTATTTTGTAAGCACGAGCTTGAACTGGGAACTCGTGGTGCATCTGCATCATCATCGTCATTATATGACTGGGCCGCTTCAAACGGTCAGTGAATTTCACAAGTTCGCATTATTTTTTCGGACTGCCCTACAATTTTCAGGGTCACGCTCCAATGTCCGATCCGTTACTATGCTGCACTATGGGAAAAAATGTTTTGGGCTAGTTCATTGAAGAGTTGATTTCTTAGCTTAGTCAAATTAATGATCTATCAGAAAAGATAGTTGATGTCCGCCACGGCTGTATTTGTTGACAGATCAAGTCGATAAATGCGTTCAAAGATCACAATTTTCGGATTGATGAAGACTTCATCGGCCACCTTATTATGTCCGAATGCGAGTCTATTGGAGTATGAAAAATGATAATTCTGTTTTATTCTTGGATTTGCCACACCTTGAGTAAAAACGAGTTTAGCGTATGTATGATCAAGCAATAATTTAAGACTAAGGTTAAGTTGAATACCAACAAAGGGCTGTAACAGATAGTCAATTAGCCATGCCTCCAATGAGCGATATATGCACTAGACTTTCAAGAGCGGTTGTAGTATACACGACTATCGTATCAAGTCAGTTCAGTTCAGTTTCGGCTACGGTTGCGGCTTCGTTTGACACTGACTGACAGTACGACGGACACCAGACAAAACCAATATACTCATTTTCTTTTCTTGACCGAATAATAGTGTTGTTTTAATTTTGTGAATGAAGTATGTCACGCGTAATTGGCCGAGCATAGGCTGGTCTCCGTGTTACGATGAAAACTTGTTTATCTTGTTTATATGCTTAAATTGTCACGAAATTTTGCAGAGGTAAAACTCTTTTCATACTAGCAATACTTATCTTAGTCATATTATTATTACATACGGTAATTATCTTAATCATTTATTTTTATGATTTGTCAAGCAAACGTGGCACTTGTTACTATGTGACTTCGATATGAAGAATTTTCCGCTCAATTAGATCGACTAATATTTTCAACATAATTTGATTAAAATTTACTTGCCAATATAATGATAGTAATATCATTATAACTGTCAAAGCCACAATGCTCATTTATTATCGCAATGAAACTATAAATATAATAATTATCATTATTAATTTCAATTTCAAATCTCATTATTTTAATTTATAAGAGTCTTTACAAACTTATTTTCTAAATATCCTGATTATTCTTAATATCATCATTAATATAATATTAATTATTATAACCATTTTAATTATCAGATAGCCAAGGCTCAGGTTGTTCCTCTTACACTTTCTATGACGACTAAGAATGCTAGCTTATGCAATCAATATACACATGGTTATGAGGGAATCTAAATGCTCGTAATTGAGGCAATTATGGAGCGAAAAGTAGAGTTCGAATACAAATAACAACATGGCTCTAAGTATTATTTATTTAGAGTGTGTCAATAACTCTTTCATTTAACGCTCTGCTCTCTATGAAAGCGCCTACGATCTGCAAAAGGTCTGAAAAGTCTTAAGGATATCATTACTGTAATAAACTAAGCCTACGCGTTGTTAACTCAACACCTTGTCACCAAGCTCTATAAAAAAAAAAAAAAAAAACAAACACTAAAGACTTCCATAAAAAAACTAGATACAAACATATTTGACATATTATTTTGGCATCACTTTTTTTTGGTAAGCAAATGGCCGCCGTTTATTGTGGTTGAAATTCGATATAATAAAGACAACTATTGAATACCCCTGTGCTCCTGTGCTCCATGTGATCCGTATATTAAAAGGCGCTCTCTTGCTGGTCTAGTCGGCTATGATATGACCACCAGCTGTTGTCCTCCACTAGAGTCCATCATGTTGTGGTTTGGGTCAAAGCGCTTGGCGTGCGGCGTGTGGCACTTGGCGCGCTCTAAGCGTCTCATAAATAAATGCGAAAACAAAATGCCAGGCAGACGGATGGGCGGTGGGGCTGGCCAACACGAAGCACCCGTTATTGGAAAACTAGACAGGCAGAGAGAAGAAATCAGTAGAGAGCAGGGCTAAACTTACAAATACCCTGTACAATATTTAAATATATTCATTGCTTACCTAAACAAATTTCCTATATAAAAAAAAAAAAAAAATAATAAAATAAATAAATACAAATTAATTAAATAAATAAAATAATATAAAGAATATATTTTATTTAATTATAATAAATAATATAAAAAAAAAATAAAATAAAATTCTTCTATACATAAATATCATTAAGCAGAAGAAATTGTTAGTTAAAATCTTCAAAGTATATTTTGTATATTTCAGTTTTCTTAATACCGATGCCTACGCACATAATGCACTTTATGTGGCTTGGCAGGCATACAGGGTATACGCAGTGTCTGGCCGCACAGGGTGACTCGAGTTGGGTAAAAATAATGATTGACTGGTCTGGCCGCTCTGCGCATGCTGCACTGCGCAGCCGCTGGAACGCCTTTAACCCTTGTACAAGCGCCTGCCCAACCCAACCCAGCCCAAGCAACAGAGCTTTTCCAGTTCCAGTTTAATGGCGTCGCTGGCGATAAGATAACGGACTCTCGCGCATGACCAAAATGCCAACTGGGCAATTGCTGTTGTTGTAGCTTTTGTTACTTTTGTTGTTATCAACGATTTCCAATGTTTTCAATATAAAGGGGCGGTGCTTGTTGCGGCCTGGAAGGCGAGCAGTTGCTGCTGCTGCTACATTTGTTGTTGTTGTTGCTGCCGCTGCTGCTGTTCTTCTTCGTACTCTTCTTATTCTTCTTCTTCCTCTGTTCATGGCTTTTGTTGTTTTTGCGTTGACCGCGCGTATTGACTTGGACTTTTGAGTTAAGTTTCTCATATTTGTGCTATGCCATTGCCGTCGCTGACTTTTAAGTGCTGTTGACTGTTGTTTTGGGGCCACAGCGAAGGTGTCGCCAGGCGTTGGCTCGTTTTAGCTTTGGCTGTTGTTGTTGTTGTTGCTGCTGCTGTTGTTGTTGTTTTTGTTGCCGCTGCCGCAGCGCTTTTTTGCAGTTATTACTCGAAAATTCTTAAGAGAAAAACTTTTCTGCTAAAACTTTTAGGTCTCGCAAAATATTGTAATGCCGCCTGCATAACGAACAAGAACGAGAACGGCAACGGCAACGGCATCGGCAACGGAAACGGAAACGGAACGGGCATAGATTACATACATATAGGTATAGGGCATGCCAACTGTTAACTGCTGCCTGGGCTGCCCGGGCTGCGAGGGGGCGAGTGGGGCCAAGTTAAGCATAACAGTGCGCATACTAAAAACAGCACAAAAATTGTCGACGACGTCGCCGTCGCTGTTGCTGTCGCTGTCGCAGTCGCCATTGTTGTGTTGTTCGCTAGCCTGGCTGCCTGCATTTTACCATATCATTTGTGTCACATTAAGATCAATTGGTAAACACACACAAACACAAGCACAAACACCCACACACGCACACTAGCTAGGGCACACACAAAAAGGCAAACGGCATAAAAAGTATCGTAAAAGTCAAATAAAAAAGCTCACACAACAACAGGAAGAGCTGCAACAATAACGCGAGACGCAGATGCAGCAGCAGCGACAACGGCAACAAAAGCGTCAAAAAGTGCGCAAAAAATGCAGCCCGAGTGCCACAAATAGCAGCAGCAGCAACAACAACAACAACATAAATACGAAAAATACATAAATACAAAAACAAAAACAAAAAAAAAAGAAGAGAAAAAGAAACAAAAAATACATAGCTAACAAACAACGCAGCATGCGTCCGTTAGCTACTGCCAGTGTTGCCGTGCCGTGCACTGTCATGCCGTTAAGCTCTGCTGTGCCGCCGCCGTCGACGCCGACGCCATTTTGTCGCTGCCTTCCGTCGCGTTTGCCAATTGCCGTCGCAAAATGGCGTTCGAGTGAATATTGAGTTGAAATCGAATCGCAGTGAAACACAAACAGCACGAATTGAAAATTCGAACAAATAGTGCGAATCAAATCAGAAAAATTACTACAAAATTGCGAAGAATAAAAAATATTTTAAAATGAAAAATTAAAGGATATTCTGAAGTTTTATAAATGAAAATAGCTGTAAAATTAATGTAAAGTTCACTTCCAAAACATATTGAAAGCGCTCAGGTCTTAGTTAACCACAACAGCACAAAATTTACATGGAAATATGTTTGTAGCATTTAATTTTTAGCGATTCCAAAACAATGTTCAATGTTCAATGTTTATTATAATTTCAGTAGCTCGACTATTGATGCATAATTAGGCCATAAGCAGATAGGCATTGTTCATGTTCTGTTTGTGTACTCAACTCTGAGGAAGAGAAGAAAACATGCACCCTACATTATAGGGCGACAAGCTCGAGCTATTTGCTATTTGTAGGTTCGTCTATATTGAAATTGTTTTTGTAACTGAATTGCGAAGCAGACACTTGAAGCTGCCTCTACACACATAAGAGTCCAAATTGATATAGCAAGGCATCGAGTATAGTAAAAGAATACACACACACACACACACACACACACACACTCGTTTCCTCGGCTACACAATCGAAGCGAAGTACCAAAAGCCAAAGAAAAACCGCCGTGCGTTTCGCTCGCCTGATAAGAAATCGAGGCGAGCGACGGCGACGGCGACGGCAACGGCACATTACACACGATGTGCCACAGTGCCAGAGTCAGTGCCAGTACCAGTGGCAGTGGAAGTGCTCAAACAGTCAACGAGTCAACCAACCAACGAGCGATCCAATCTGGCTCTATCTATAAGGCAGTGCCGTCTGCCTTACCTTATGGAATATAACAAAAATAAAATCTTCGCCGCGTGACTAAACATTTCCGCCTCTTTGCCAGGTTGGATCGCGCTTACCGCGCGTGTGTTTCACTATATAATATATTTATA